AATAACCCCCCCCCCACCCCAATCACTTCAATGCTTCTTATCAACCAAGCACAAGAGACATTTGTTGAGGCAGCTGGAAGGTGAGTCTGCGGGTAATAACGTCAAGAATTCAAGCATTTCCTAAAGTGAGTCAGACTTCTCGCAGAAACTGGGACCGCGGTGCATGTGATTTGTGTAAGATACAGTAAGTATTTGTGGAGCATTTATTAATGTGAGTCATACTTTATGAACAGACTAGTACTGCAGTGCATGTGATCTGTGTAAGAACATGTGATTTGTGTAAGTACGTATTTGTGGAGCATTTATTAATGTGAGTTATACTTTTTGTATAGACTAGTACCACAGTGCATGTGATCTGTGTAAGAACAGTAAATATTATGCAGAAAAAAGAAATGGATATATTACACTTAAACCGTAAGAACTTGGCTAAATAGCACTTATATCCCGTATTGATTCACTTATTTTAACTTGCTAGTATAGTGCACGTACGTTGCATGAGGATATATATATTTTTAATCTTGTAATATTTCGATGTAAGAAACTTTTTTCAGAATGTAATTGGATAATTTGTTTGTAATTTTTTAATCAATAAAATCTTAGAATGAATATTTTTTTATGTGGTTCATTTTTGAAGGTATAGATGTCAATTTATAAGTTTATGAAGTTTCAGTGTTCTTTATACAATTATTAATTTGTGAATTTTAAACTTTGAAATTTTTTTGATGTTTTTATTAATCCGTGTGACTTCTTACAAAACTTTTGGATAACCTGAAAGTCGTAATTCTATTTGAAAAACCTAAAAAATGTAATCCCCTATTTATTTTATAATTGAATATGATGTATGGGATTTAGAAATTTTACAGATTTACAAGCCTTTACATAAAAATTCACAATATAATTGTACCTTCTCATATTCAATACCTTAATGTTAAAACCAAAACTGGAATCATGACTGGTAATATGTTTATCAGCTCATCTTGCTGTCTGAAATTCATTTTGTTGGTTATTTATGGTAAGACCCTTATACTTCCTGTGTTGTCATGTTTTTATATAGTATGTCGAAGCAAATTGTAAACTTTATTTATTAATATTGTATCTTGAATGCTGCAGATCCTAAATTAGGGGCTTCAGGTTGGCATCAATCTTGCTCTAACTATTGCATTGCACAATATCCTAGAGGTACATTTCCAATCTAAAAGGTTTGGAGATTCCTATGTAAGCAAACATAATCCGCCTACTGCTTTCCCCTTGATTTTATTTATTTGGAAGCCTTTCTATTTAAAGTTCAACTAGCATTAGCGACTTGTTTCTTATTATTTTTTTTTTTTTTTTTTTTGATATATCATGTACTGAACTAGTTTTTTCTCTCCCAGAATTTGGGCAATAGTTTGGACAGTGTCATCTTACAATGAAAACAATTACGGAGCTTGTTGACCTATTAGATTGTGGGGCACCTGTAATTTATCATGTACTTGTAAACTTATTCATGTCTGTACTGGGTTTATGAAGTAAAAATTACAGAATATTTACCATCCTATTGACATTATAAGCTTATTCCAATGCTATAAATATAATTTTTTATATGTATCTTATTTTGGATCGTGTTTGTGATTTTATTACTTTGTGGATATATATGTGATGTGCTTTGTATATTACGTTATTGTTAGATATGGAGATGCATAAATATTGAATGTGTATTGTGGTTTGATTTTCAGATATGGGGATGTGATATATTATATATATATATATATATGATTATATATACTTACTATATTATATATATATTTATTATATATATATATATATATATATATCATATATATTTATATATATACTACTATATATATGATGGCCGTACTGCTTGGCTACCAACTGATAAACTTTGTACATGCCTTGAGTAATGACCGGTGGCACAATCCTCCACTCATTTCAAATGTTGGCGACCACATTCACTATGGGTTAAGAAGTGCATGCGCGGATATGTCAACCATTTGAACTGACAGCTGAAGGGGATTTATGTCACATCACTACCAAGCACAACTTTTGGTGCTCGGTACCAAGCAGTACCCATTTCTCGTCGGTCTGCTGGTCTCTCTGGGCGTCTGCGGTCTCTCTCTCTCGTCTCTGCTCTCTGCGGTCTAGGTATATATATATATGATATATAGTATATACTATGATAGCTATATATATAATATAGTAGAGAGGAGTTAAGTGCGTATCCTTGTCATGATGAGGGCGGGAGGTTTCTCCTGAGCGCCGTCTAAAATTCACACTGATTGAGCGACGATTGGGGATGATTCCTTGCCGTTGGAACTTGTTACATTTATTCTGAAAACGCCCAGACGAGCGACTCAGTTTGGGTGGAACCCGTCGCGGTTTTGGATCCTCCATCGAGCCATGGTTGAAAAGTTCTATATTCAAACCGGTTAAAATTAATTAGAGTGATGAAGGTCAAAGCGACGACGGGTTCACCCCAAACTTGGTGTGTTGGGGTTTTAGAATATGTAGATCAAGTTCAACTGAGCGGCATCCACAATGTCACTCAATCATTATGATTTTAGAGGCGGTCAAGGAGGAAATCCCCTCCTATGACAAGGATACCATTAATCTCATTATATATATATAATATATAATATATATATATATATATAATTAATATATATATATATATATATATATAATATAGTATATATATATATATATATATTATATATACTACGGGTACATGCCGTACATGGAGCCAACTGGCTCAATCGATATTTTTTTGCACATTCATAAACATTGGCGATGGGGTAGCCCGTCGCCAATAATAATTTGTATGATGTGTCACCAATAATCATTTGTATAATGTCCAGTACGATGCAAGAGCATAGATGAGCAGATTTTATTATTTTTTTACATTCTCACAACATCCTAGACAGAATGTCGGCAATTCCGTCTAGGACGCCTCTGCGCATCCTAGACAGAAATTCCGTCTAGGATGCATCTTTCCGTCTAAGATGATTATTCTAGAAGGAAATTTTGTCTAGGATGTGACATAGACGGAAATATTTTAGACGGACCATCCTAGACAGATATCCATCTAGGATGTCCATTTTAGACAGATTTCTCGGCATCCTAGACGGATTTTGTCATCTAGGATGCTCAGATTTCTACTAGAATTTGTAGACTTCGAGTATCAATGTGTTAGAAATAAACTTTACAGTAAGAAAAATGTAAACATTGAGGTATTAAAGTGCCAAATATGGAGAATCGAAGTTAAAAAAGATGTAATCTTTAGGATACTAAAGTGCAAATAATCCAATTTCAAATATTAAGATTGATGAACTAAGTTCAAAGTATGACAGAGATGGGGGATATGACCAGGAAACTCTTCATAAAATTGTAGTTATTATTTGTTTGTTATTATATTAGCTAGTTGCAGGCATCTTTTCTGCGGGTAAACCAAACCGAATTCTGATTCGAGAACGTGTACAAAGCAATGTTACAGAAGACGCTAGGCGGACTAGGCGTTTGAGCCGGGGCCTAGCGCCTAGGCGTTTGCCAATTTTTTTCATTTATTTAATTATAATAATTCACAAAAATATGTATTAAGTTCATGTAAAATTGTACAAAAATATAAATAACAAGATTAGATCCATAATCAACCATGCATAAAATGCTAAATATCCAAAGTAGTAACCAAATACTAATTAAATAGATTAACTAAAATTAACTAAATTGAACAATGAATAAATTTGAACTAAAATTGAACAATATTAAACTAAAACTAATTAAAATTGAACAATATTTAACTAAAATTAAATAAGATTAAACTAAAATTAACTACAATTGACTAAAATTAACTAAAATTGAACATGATTAAACTAAAACTAACTAACATCGAACAAGATTAAACTAAAACTAACTAACATCGAACAAGATTAAACTAAAATTAACTACATTTAACTACAATAAACTAAAATTACTCAAGATTAAATTAAAACTAACTTAATTAAACTAATTAAACTAATCAATTAAACTAAATTGAACAATATTAACTATTTAAATTTAAGATAATAGTGTATAAGTGAGATTTTGGTCTAAAACAGTAAATAAGCTAAAAAATAGTTTGAAATTTTTACTTGAGGGCCGGCGGGAGAAGGAACGGCGGCGGCTAGAGAGAGTCTAGCGACGGCGGGGGGAGAGGACTGGCGAGAGAGGCTCCGGCGGCGGCGGGAGAGGGTGCGATGGCACCGGGAAGAAATTTCAAAGAGAGAGAGGGTGAGAGAGAGAGGCGGCTGTGAG